AAAATTGGAGAGCCATGTGTAACAGAAATAAAATTGGACCACTATCTTACACCATATACAAAAATCAACTCAAAATACATTAAAAACTTGAACATAAGAACTTTAACTGCAGAAGTCCTAGAAGATAACAGAGAGGGTAGGCTCCTTAACATCAGACTTTGCAATGATTTTTTTTTTGATTTGACACCAAAAGGAAAGACAACACAAGCAAAAATAAGTGTGACTGCATCAAACTAAAAGGCTTCTGCACATCAAAGAAATCATCAACACAAAATGAACTATGGAATGAGAAAATATTTGCAAATCATATATCTGATAAGGGGTTAATATATAAAATACATTAAAAAACTCATACAATTAAGTAGCCAAAAAATCTGATTAAAAATTGATCAGGGTGCCTGAGTGGCTCAGTTGGTTAAGTATCTGACTCTTGATCTCAACTCAGGTCTTGATCTCAGAGTCATGAATTGGGTTCCCACGCTGGGTGTGGAGCTTACTTAAAAAAAGAGAGCAGAGGAACTGAAGAGACATTTATCCAAAGAAGACATACAATTGGCCAACAGTCCTCATATCACTAATCATCAGCAAAATGCAAATCAGAACCACAATGAAACATCATCTCAAATGTGTTAGAATGGCTGTCATCAAAAACAGAAGAGATAGCAAATACTGGTAAGAAAAGGGAACTCTTGTGCATTGCTGGTGGGAATGTAAATTGGCACAGTAGCTATGGAAAACAGTATGGAGGTTCCTCAAAAAATTAAATATACAACTGCTGTATAATCCACCAGTCCCAATTCTAGGTATATATCTGAAGGAAGCAAAATCACTATCTGCATCTCCATGTTCATTGCAGCACTATTTACAGTAGCCAAGATGTGGAAAAGAACCCAAGTGCCCATCAATAGATGAATGGATAAAGATGTGGTACATATATATATACAATGGAATGTTATCGAGCATAAAGAGAAGGAAACCTTGCCTTTAGCAACAACGTGGATGAATCTCAAGGCATTATGCTAAGTGAAAATAAACAGGGAAAGACAGTGTTATCTCACTTTTATGTATAATCTAAAAAGAATCCTGAACTGACAGAAACAGAAAAGAGATTTGTGGCTGTCAGTGGCAGGAGGTGGAGGATGGAGGAAAGGAAGGAAGGCAGTTAAAAGGTACCAACTTCCAATTATAAGATTAGTAAGTTCTGGGGATCTAATATACAGCATGATGACCATAGTTAACAATATTATATATCGTATATTTGGGAACTGCTAAGAGAGTAGATTTAATTTAAACATTTTCATCATAAAACATTGTAACTCTGAGGACATGGATGTTAAATTTACTGTGATAAGAATTTCTCTCTCTCTCTCTATATATATATATATATATAAATCATTGTGTTGCACTCCTTAAACTAATACAATGCTATATGTCAATTATATCTCAGTAAAACCGGGGTTGGGGGTTGGCTGTTATCAGTATCTCCCAAATATACACTCAGACCTTAGTGCCTTTTTGCTTGAGGGTTATTTTTGATACTTAATATATAGATTGCTGGACCCTGCCCCTAGATGTTCTGACTCATTAAGTCTGGGATGAGGCCAGGAAATCTATATTATTACAGGCTTCCCAATGAGTCTGATGTAAGGCCAGGATTGAGAGCCACTGGAACAGAGGACCTTTTAAAGTTTCTGTCACTAAAGAGTTTTCTGGGCTAGGAGCATTGGGTGGGCATGTGCTGCCCTCTAGTGCCTCTAGTTGCTTGCTACACTTAATGCACACTGTAACCTGCTGCTTGAACACTGGTAGTTTGGGGCCTGACACTAACAGGGGGTTTCCTGTCCAACTCCCTGCAAATTTTAACTATTAGGCATTGATAAAAAATACCCGTATAAAAATATTGCTGCTGAATAGTGTGCTTCTCTGTCCCCAGCACCTTGGCTCATCTAAGATGTTCAGTAATATTTTCTGATACTGAGACACAGCACAGCTCCCTCCCCCTGCTCTTGTGCTCTCTCTCTCTCTCTCTGTCTCTCTCTCAAATAAATAAAAAATTTAAAAAAATACATGAATCAGATTCTGGCTTTGAGAAGTTTTCTAGAAACGAATGAATATGAATTTATAGTTGAATACCCCTCCAGAGTCCATAGAGGCTTTTCAGGTACTTCGTCTTCCTTGTGTACTCTTCAGTATAAACCGTGAAGCAGGAGGGGCAAATATGAAGATCCATGCCTGTATTGTTGATGTGTTCATTACATGAATGCACCTTTGTTTGGAAAGGTTCCCCTGTCCTAACCACTCAAGCACCTTTTGTCAATGAGTACCAAACCAGTAAATAAACCTGTACTAAAGGCCTACTCTGCAAAAGCACATAAGATTATCTTTGGCTCTAACTCCTGAGTCTGGAGACAGAGGAACAAGGGTGAGTGAGATGCTGCAGAGGAGTTGGCAGCAGATGGTTTTAATGGCTTAGTAGGATGGCACTGGCTGTGGGTTATCTGTAGGGTAAAGACTGCACTGGTTGGAGCAGGTGCAAAGTTTGCACAATCTAATAGTTTTCTTGTGGGCAGGAGGTTAGACTAATGGGAGACTGAGAACTGTTTCAGCAGAGAAAAGGCAGCAGCAGCTGCAGGAAGCAGAGCTGGTTGGGGAAGAGATACAATATTCTGTTTACCTTCTCTTCATCCCATTGGTGAGGGAGGGAGTGTCCTTGGGTTCTGGACCTGACTGAACTCATGACACCCGACACTGAAACTATGAGATTGACAGTAGTTTTATTAATCATATATAGTCACAGCCAAGAGACGGAGGATACCAAACACCATGCTGGACCACATTAGGTCATATTAATGGAAGACAGAACCATTGCAGTGGCAAAGAAAGAAGCTGCAGGAAGCAGGAGCCGGTTGGGTAGGAATAATAAAAGTTAAAGATTCAAGCTACACTGTAGGTATCTCAACCTGCTACTAAAAAGGTGATGCAAGCTGTTTGTCAGTTTGACATTCAGTGCTCTTTAGTTGAAAAAGTCTTCTCATATTTGTAGTGTGGAATTTGCAAGTTCAGGAAAGATGTTAAAATGGCTCAAATTCATCCCATCATCAGGTGTGACTCCTCTTAAATTATCTTAAATGTAAAGATGTATTTTGGTTTGGTTTTGTTCTATATAAAAAGGACACTTTAGAAAAACATTCATCTATATTTTTATTAAAACATTTCAGACTATTCTTCCTTAAAGTTAATAAAAAAAAAAGGTCTCATACTAATTATTAGTAATGGGTTTTTTTGCCTTTTGTTTCTTAAATTGTGGTCTATATACTTAACATTTTAACTATTTTTTAAAAGATTTTATTTATTAATTAGAGACACACAGAGAGAGAGGCAGAGACACAGGCAGAGGGAGAAGCAGGCTGTATGCAGGGAGCCTGATATGGGACTTGATCACAGCACCCCAGGATCATGCCCTGGGCCGAAGGCAGGTGCTAAACTGCTGAACCACACAGGGATCCCCCCATTTTAATTATTTTTAAGTGTATCATTGTGCAGTCTTTTCCACTATGCATTTTCAGATTTTTTTCATATCCCAAACAGAAACTCTGTACCCAGTGAATAATAACTCCTTAATTCCCTCTCCCTCAACCACTAATAAGGTTGATTCTTGATTCATATTAATTAATCTTTGTAACTAGGACTTTTAAAAAGATTTTATTTATTTATATATTCATGAGACACACACACAGAAAGGCAGAGACATAGGCAGAGGGAGAAGTGGGTTCCTCACAGGGAGCCCGATGTGGGACTCAATCCAGAACTCCAGGATCACGCCATGAGCCAAAGGCAGACGCTCAACCACTGAGCCACCCAGGCATCCTTGTAACTAGGTTTTTAAGTGTCTTCAGAGCAGACAGGTAGCACAACTCAATGTCTTTGTGCCTTTGATATTGCCCACTTTAGTGATGAACACAGATTGAGTGCTCACCACACCTGTCTGGTGGTGGACTGGATGCTGAAGGAGGGACCAAATAGCACTTTCAGAGATTTTGAGCTGAAGAATTTTGGAGGTGTGGGACCACTATCATCAGGGCAAGAACTTAAGGAAATTCAGAAGTCCTAGGTCATTGGAGGCATCTCACAATGTTGACATGGGCTATGAAATTAACATTAATATGTGAATCAGTGGACTTATGTGTGGAGGGTAACTGAGGTTGAAAAGGAAAAAGCTTGCCCTGGGATGCCTGGGTGGCTCAGTGGCTGAGCATCTGCCTTTGACTTGGCATGATCCTGGGGTCTGGGGTCCCAGGTCTCAGGATCACACCCTGGGCTGAAGGCAGCACTAAGCCACTGAGCCACCCGGGCTGCCCCAGAAAGTTATTTTAAAAGACAGCAGCTATATCCTTTCCTTGACATGTCAGACATGACCCTCTTCTTGAACCTCTTAATACTGACCACCAATTGCTTGTGACATAAAAATCCTCACTTTCTAACACTTAACAAGATAATGCATGTCCTAGCCTCTTGTTTGTGTGTTAGGTTATCTTCCCAATACAGGTGATGTAATGTAGTTCATGGAGTTCCTCTGACCTAGCCACTCTTTCTCTTATAGGGCATGCGGTGTATATAAAGACTAACGTATCTAAGGATAGATGCCAGACTGTTGTCTAAAGGAGAGCTAAGCCATCACGTTATAGGGAACAGAGTATGAAAGAGTATATGCTGCCTATGACCTTGGCACATCTAGGGCCCAGGCTCTGCAACTCATACAGACAATCAGACATCCTCATCTGAACACTGAATCACATGAGCTTCTCCTAGACAAATAAAGGCCTCTGATGCTCTGCATGCCTTTGGAAATAGGAGAGCTTTGTGATGTAGTCTGGTGATCTGGTTTCATCTCCTGTGAGGTAGAGATGACAGGGTCAAATTAGGTCCAAACCTAATTTGGAAGCATTAGGTTCCAAGTCCCTGAAAGCCTAGGAAGAGAGATGCCTAGTGAGGTTTGGATTATGTTGAGCCCTACCTTTCTTCTGTGGGATGTTGGATATCCCTATACACTTATGGCTCCATCACTATTATTGCATTAATTATTTGGCAAGTGAAAAAGAGCCACCAAGAATTAAGGTTGGGACCTAAAAGGAGCTGTTGCCGGGTAGGGAAACACAATGACCATGACTGAACTGATTAAGCTTCGAACAAGATTTTATTCCCTTACTTTCTCCTATTACACTTACCCTTACCTTTTTTTTATGGGGGTTTCTTCATGGATCTCAGAATAGCTCCAAATTTGGGTTCACTTCTGGTTTGGGAGACATTCAGGACCTTGGATAGCTAAAATCCCTTGGCTACTAGATCCCTTATCCTTTAATCTATTCCTCTTTTCTCCTGTCTCATTCTGATCTCCCACAGAACTTGTTCAGGGAATGGGGGTAGAGGTATGGTGTATAGGGGGCCTCAAAATGAATTAGTAATAAGAAAGGGAAATGATGGGTGAAAAGACAAAGACTAAGAAAAGAATGGTACGAGCGTATATAAAATTGGAATATAGAAAAGTTTGAGAAATATCTACCAATTTTGTCTCATTTTAGACAAAAAGTGAAAGGTGCCCTGGCTTAGAAAAATTTAGATGCTCTAACTCTTTTGTTTTCAAGTGTCACCGGAGAGTCAGACAAAGGGCTAAAGATAAAACATCAAGAGGTAAAGTCCTAATTTACCCTCAGACTCCCCTCTCAATGGGCAAGTTTCCCCTGATTCCTATCCCTCTATGAGCCCTGGAGCCAGTAACCAGGCGCTCTAACCACTGAAGGCTCCAATTGCCTCAGCTGACAATTTCTCCCAGAACACTTTCTTGGGTGGGAAATCAGAGCCTGGGAATGTTCCAAAAATCTCTACATTACACCTGCCTTTGAGAATGAAGAATATAGAAGGAGGACAGAAGCCCTTAGCTGTGTCATTTACTAGTTTTACCACCTTGTGGAAATGACTTCATCTCTCAGTCTGTGATCCATGAAATGGGCATCTCATGATCCTGCCTCACTCGCAGTGTGGCTGTGATGATCAAATGAAATGAGGTCTAGGACAGCATGTTGTAGTGGATTAAGCTGTATGCATATGTGCTTTAGAGCATTGACTGTTGGGGTTTTCAGCCTCCTCTTCCTCAAAGGCCTTTAGCTTCCTATAGGATGTCCCTGCATCCTCTCATTCTTTGTTAACACTCTGCTGGTTTTTCAGCTAGGAGATTTTGTCAGGAAGAAGCTGATAAGCCATGGGAGCTGCTCTCTGTCATGAGAAGGTGATCACTTGCTCTTTGCATCCTCCAAATCCCCAGCCTGGCCTAGGACGATTTCTCTGGTTGGCCTGTGGCAGGGACCAGGAGAGGGAAAACGTCCCGGAGGGAGTCAGACAGTGGATGCTGAGCACTGGTTGAGAGAGTTGCCAGGGCAGAGGAGGATCAGGTGTCTCAGGACAGGGAGTCTCCCAGTTTTGCTCTAGGCTAGGTTCACAGTGGTCCTGAAAGTCAGGATTTTGCTAGTATGTAATTCATTGAAGACTCTACATAAGTTTGCACTCAGCCACAAGATAGGTTATCCAGTCAAGAGAATAGATAAATGCATACATAAACAAATCACCATTGTCATATTCCTGTTGCAACCATTCAAGGGCAGACCCGTAGAACCTGCTGACATTAATTCCATGGTTTTGTCTTCAGGGAGGCCAATTCCTGGGACAGCCCTCAGAAAGGAGTCTGTCATTTTATCCTCTTCCTAAAATCTCTAAGGAAGGGAATTGGCTCTCAACAGACTATGTACAGGATCTGGGACACCCCATAGTCCCCACAATGCAGAGTTCCCACAAAGACCATATTTTCCACAGCTTAGAAATACTGAATGCCAGGCTGTGGCCTTCTTAGCTCCAGAAGAGACTGACTGCGGGTTCCCCCTGTAATATTCCTGGTGCTGCCCCTCAGCCAACCATTGGCTCCCCACCACTGCCTGGTTCCCTTCTCCTGGTGTAGCTTCACAACACAGACCAACAGAGAATGCACCCCACGTCCCAGTGTCTCTCATGGCCCTGTGTTTCCATGCGTTGTCTGAGACCTTGCCCAACAAGCTCCAGACCCTCAGTCCAACCCAGCCCAACATAACTTGCCAATGGCATTTTCCTAGGAGGAAAAGGAGATGGGTAAATGCCCTGGGGTTCCAGGACTAGGGGAAGGTGGGCCAAATCTCCAGGCCACACATATTCAGAGAGGCAGGTGTCAGTCCATCAGTAATGATTGCCATCTTCCCTTCCTAGCCAGGGCTGGCTTCCTAAGGAGGGAAGTGTGCGGTGGCTCCAGTGTGCAGATTCTTCCTGCCCCATGTGTAATGCTGTGGCTCCTGGGATTCAGCAGTTGCTGTCAGGTGAGAAAACCCTGACCTCTCCCTCTTCATCGGGGCCATCGCAGGGCTCCTCTTGTCTCTCTTTGGAGCAGAGTCAGGGTTCCCTGCACTCCAAAGCTCTTTCACTTCCATCTGTAAGCCCTACAAAGTCACAATTAACAGATCAGAAATGCTTAACACAGCTGCCCAGTCGACCAGTGTCAGCATCCAAGATATCCAAGGTGAATGCCTCCAGCGAGGGAAGGGATATCAAGTGCCAGATGTGTCCAGGGATACAGGAGCTCTCTGTATTCTTCAAGTGAGGAGCCTAGGACTCCTGTGAATCAGCAGGACAAGAGGAAGAGCTACCCTGTATGTGTGCTGGAGAAACAAGGTCAGCTGCCCTTGAATATCTGATTCTCTTTCTTTCCCTGATTTCAGGGCTCATGAAGCTAAAATACCCTGTTGCCTTGCATGTTTCTATTTCCCCAAAGTCCTGAGTCATCTTTAAGCACATGTATATAAATGAATGCATTTCTTTTTTTTTTTAATTTTTTTTTTATTTATTTATGATAGTCACAGAGAGAGAGAGAGAGAGAGGCAGAGACACAGGCAGAGGGAGAAGCAGGCTCCATGCACCGGGAGCCCGATGTGGGATTCGATCCCGGGGCTCCAGGATCGCGCCCTGGGCCAAAGGCAGGCGCCAAACCGCTGCGCCACCCAGGGATCCCAACGAATGCATTTCTATACCTGAGGGAGCTCCCAAGATCTTTAGAAGAGTTCCTATGGCAGCTTATAACACATAGCCCCAATTGTTTTCCAAGTCTGGAGAAAACAACCATTTCTTTCATCATAATGCCACTTGTAAGGCCTCTATTGAAATAATAGGCTATCTTCCTGACCTGGGATCATGAGAGTTGAACCAGTCTACCCAAACTTTCTGAGTTATCGAAAGATCCACTATGAACCCAGAGCAAATACCGCTGCAAGTAAATTGCAAACTTCATGACTCTGGCTCCACCCTCTACTACATTTTAGTTTCTTAGTGGTCTCTATCCATTGGCCAGAAGATCCACTGAGGCCTCAGTGTGCTATCTATAGCAGAAAAATAGCTATGTTCCTATGGTTCCTATTTTCTGCACAGTGAGTCCTTGGTCTGCCAATAAAGATCTCTCCACAAAAGGGGAGCCCCAGTCTCTTTTTCTTCAATAATTGCTTTGTAATCTCTAAAATTTCCTCCACCTAAGTTAGCCCCAGCTCTTTCCCACATTCCCAAATTTGGGTGTCTCCATCTGACTAACAACAAACCCATATGAATATCCCATTTCCTTCTCTGGCCAAGTGTGAAGCCTTAGAGTGGCACCAGCGGCAAAGGCAGCCACATCTTCATTGGAGCTTCTCAGCTGTTGCCCAGAAATCTCTGTAGAGGCAGAGAACCATATAAAATAAGCCCTGAGACATGTTTCTTCCTGTCCCCAGGGACCTGTTAAGAGAAGCCCATTTCAGTCTTCAAGAGGGAGGTGGTATTTCCCTGGAACATACCCAGAGCTGCTAGAGTTCTACTTTCAGAAGCAGTTGATTTAGCAAGTTGATTCATTATTGTGAAAGCCTGCCCCAGAAGATACATCAGTCCAAAGAGTTGCACCTGTCCCCTGCTGACCAGGAGCCCCTGCCCCAGAGCAGCACCCTGGCCAGTATGAGTATCCCCTAGCTTGCAGACCTAAAGGCCAGTGGGGATAGTGACCTGTTCTGATTCATCATGGCAGCAGGGCTGGTCTATAGTTGCTTGCCCAGGCTAAGGCAATGTTGCAGAGCTACAGTGACTACAAGCATGGGAAGATATGCTAGGGCATTTGTTTCTGCCCACATTTGCAGCTGTTAGGACTGCAAATCATTAGGTCTGCAGCATTACAGGGCTCTGACAGGAGTTTGGTTCCCTTGTGCCCAGAAAGTAAGTCCCTAGACATGGAGGTGGCTATTAGCCCCTACATGGATCATAAAGTAACATCCTCAGTATTGGTAGGCCTTGATAGCAGTAACAGGCCTCACCTGATGCTATCACTGATCATCTTGACCAGCACCTGCCTGGGTATCTTCTCAGGGAGCCACTGAGAAACTGGAGATGAGTTTTGGCCTGTCAGGCTTGCCAGCTTTTTATTATGTGGCTTTCTCCAAGGCCATGGCCTCGGCAATCACTAGCCAATCTGCGATCACAAAGATGTACCCAGGTCTTTTGGGGGCCCAGTAAAACCTATGGCTCAATATCATCTAAACACCAATGTAAAAGTCCTATGCCAGACTTTCAGTATGCCAGTGAGACTTATGCAGACGGTGAGCAAGCATTTCAGACTGAAGTATAGGTGAAAGGAGATGGTGCCTCTAGAGAGCCAGACATCCTGCAGGCTACTCATCACTCAAGATACCTTTCTTGGCCAAACTGAATTTTTACCTGAAAAAAAAATTCCTGGAGATACATTTGGGAAGTCTTATAAAGATAAAGGAGTCCAGGAACAAACTGTGGCTGTCTCAAGGAATATCTGTGCCTAGGACTCCTTCAAATCTAAACAGCCTGGGAAAAATATTGCTTCAGAATCTCCCCCATCCCACCAGATATCATCCCATGTGTTCTAGAATGCTCCACATTAGAGAATAGTTTGCAGGTAAACTGAGGCAGTGAGGAGAACAAAAAGCAAGCTAGTCCTTATGGTTCTTCCCACTGGGCCTCCAAGATTTCACAACCCCCTGGGGACACAACAGGGGCCCAGGTGCTTTGTATTAAGCTGTAGGCCAGTGTGTACAAGCTGAGCCTGGAGAAGCCCTGGATCCCTTAGCCCCTGAAAAGGTAAGGACAACTCTCTGCCCCAGCAGAGAAAATAGAGGACTCTGGGAAACTTAAAGCAGCAGTGAGTCACAGACAAGGGAGTGCAGATTTGAGGCTGTCTCCAGCCAGAGAGAACATATACTCTGCTGTGGTTCAGGGGCCAGAAGGGACTTTTATAAATAGAACCCTCAGAGCCCTTGACTTCCCCAATGTCTCTAGGATCTTTCTCAAGTAGAATTTGAGCTAGGTTAGGATGGTTGCCTTGAGTGAGTTGGAACTAGCAAGAATCTGTCTGGATCTGCAGAGCCACCATTTCCATCCTCTCAGGTGACAAGATCCCTCGCAGCCCTTCACCAGTTTCTCCCTTACATTGAGTTCCTAGAGTATCACCTAGATTTCTTGGGTCAAAATGCCAGATGAGAATGTTCTGTAAGGCTATTAAAACAATCTGAATGACCTCACCCAAACAAGGATTCCCCAGAATGCCAAAACTGGAGTCACCAGAGCTTAATGGGCCAGCCCTTACATGACCAGCTTACTGGGCCATTATTAACTGGGCCAAATTTTGTAAGTCCAGCATTTAAAGTGACCATGTTTTTGGGATCCAAAATTTACAGGGTCTAAATTCATAGAATCACAGTTTCTAGGGTCAAGAGCTGCAGGGTCTAGTAAAAGCAGCGTTTCAGACTGAAGGATTCACAAGATCCCATTCTTCCAGAAGCTGCAGAAGCTGGCTTGGGAAATAAGGTGAAGCACTTTCCACACTGGATTAACCCCGAGGTGAAAGGTCAAAGGCATAAAGAATCCATTCTCCTCTGTAAGGATGACAACCCAAAACCATGACAAAAAATGTTGAGAAGAGTTCACCCCTCACCAAACACCCTGTGAGAGGAGCCAAGATGGAGAATAAAACAGAGGAGGAGAGCATGACCTTCTTTGATGCTCCTCAGTCTCTAAACAATGAACTCAAGCACAATCCCTTCAGTCCAGATGCTTCTAGTTGCTGTGCCTTCCTCACAACAGCTCCAAGCACTGTCCTCAGCTGACTTGTGCCACTCAACCAGAAAATCCAACCTAGGTCTCAGCTCTCCCCTCAGCACAAGGTACTGGTCTACACAAAGAGAAAATGCAGTCCAGGAGAAAGGAGTTCATAGGTTCCTCTGCATCCCCATGAAAAAGGCTGTCATCATCATTTCCATTAATGTCTAGGTGATCAGGACCCTCTCCAAATATACTCTATGCCTCTGAGCAAAGAACCACCTGTTTGTGCCTCCTTATTTTCAAGGTTGTATGTGATGGAGAGAGTAGAGAAGGTAAATAATACTACCCATATACTATAGGAGCTTAAACTCATATTTCAAATAGGTCAGCATTCCACACAACTCTCTCAGTCCTACCCTGGACTGTGGAGAGGGGGACTTGAGCAAAGAAGGAAGACCCCTGCCCAAAGTGCATTGAAGGTGCACCAGGCTTGAATTCACTGTGTATTCCCACGGCACCTATGGGGCCTCAGGAACAATGTAGGCATAATCATATTATAAGAAATAGCACCCCATACATTTTTGGCCCATGGGAACAAATCACCAAGAGCTTCTATGTATGCCAGCAGTCTGAAGGGAAGTTTTTAGGTGAGTGTCACAGTTGTTCCATCCTTGGTAAATACAAAAGCACACAGATAATATGACATGTGTCAGAAGCATATGAGAGAATCTCACCTCTCTGCACTGTGTTGTTATTGATTAAATCTTAAAAGGGCTAATCCATCTGGGATTTTCGCATGGCCTGTTGCCAGTTTGACACCCATTGCCTTTCAGTTGCATGGGATAAATGTCTCCTAGAATGAAGATCAGTTGAAGAGAAGGTTCCCAAAAGATCACAATAAAAATGTCCTTGACATGAGTCTTAGATGCAACATTTCAAATTTTCAACTACTTACTGTGTTTCAGATACTATGCCAGAAAACAAGAGGTGAACACAACAGTGAACAACACACAGGCCTTCCTCCATTGAGCTTATGGAATTATGGAGTAGACAGTCAAGTAAAAAGTCACTAAAAGCAGTGTGATAAGGACTCGTTAGAGGAAGTAGGTGAAAATACACAGGAGGGCACTTAACCTAATTTGGCAGGGGGAAGGGGTTCAATAGAAACTTTCCTAGCATAATACCCTCCAGTTCCATCCACATCAAAGCAAGTGGTGGGTATTTGTTGTTTCTAATGGCTGAGTAATACTCCATTGTATACATATACCACATCATGAGTGAAATAAGTCAATCAGAAAAAGACAAACATTATATGGTCTCATCCATTTGGGGAATATAAGATTTAGTGAAAGGGAATAAAGGGAAAGGAGAGAAAATGAGTGAAAATATCAGTGAGGGTGACAAAACATGAGAGACACCTAACTCTGGGAAACGAACAAGGGGTAGTGGAAGGGGAGGTGAGTGGGGGGTTGGGGTGACTGGGTGAGGGGCACTGAGGGGGGCACTTGGCGGGATGAGCACTGGGTGTTATGCTATATGTTAGCAACTTGAACTCCAATTTAAAAAATTTAAAAAAAAGAAAAGAAATTGTACTAGAAGAGGTGATATGTAGACTGAATTACAAAGGATAAGAAGTTAGGAAGGAAGTAGGGAGTCTCTGGGCTTCCCCAGGTTGAGAGTAAAATGTATAAAGGTATGGTGTCAAACAAATGGGCATACCATGGAAAGAACAGTAACTTGCTGGAGAAGTACCTATAATAGTCAAAAGCATATTAAAATGTTTGAGGGATCAGAATGAGAATGCCAAGATAGAGAATGGATGGTATTCACTCCTGCATTTTTTCATTCCTTCAGCTAATACTGTGCATCTACTATTTGCCACACACTTGTATAGGCACTGAGTATACAGCAATGAACAAAAGAGGAAAAAATTATGTCTTTAATAAGCTTACATTGATGGTACACTAGAGAGGGAGATTAAAAAAAGCATAAGTAAAAAAACATATAGTATGTAGAAGATGACTAAATATATAAGATGTAAAGAGTTTGGGGAAGACTTAGGTGGGTGCAGTTTTAAATAGGGAGGTCAAAAATAAATTACTTATTTATTTATTTATTTTATTTTTATCTATCTCTAGATAGAGAATTCAGGGCAGGCCTCACTAAAATTTATGGGGTTAGAGGCACCTGGGTGGCTCAGTCAGTTAAGCATCTGCCTTCAGCTCAGGTCGTGATCTCAGGGTCCTGGGACCAAGGCCTGTGTCAGGCTCCCTGCTCAGCAGGGAGTCTGCTTCTACCTCTGTGCTCTCTCTCACTATCTCTGTCGCTATCTCTGTCCTCCTCTCAAATAAGTAAATAACATCTTTTATTTAAATGTGGGCATGGACTAGAGAGATGAGAGAGTAAATCACATGGATAACTGAGGAAATTTCATGTCAGAAACATAAACTATCTGGAGGCTGGAGCATGCCTAAGCTATTTCAAGGAAGAAGGACAGTGAGCCTGAAGCAGAGTAATAATTAAGGGGGAGAGTAATGGAGGACAAAGAGCAGTAAAGGGGCTAAATGAGGTAAGGCCTAGAAGGTCATTGCAAAGACATTGAATTGACTTTTTGAGGAAATGGAAGTTGCTGTTAGAAGGTCTTCTTAGATCTGCTTTGTGTTTTAAGGATCACTTAGGCTGAGTTGCTAGCAGCAGTACTGGAGGTAAAGACTTGGGTAGAAGCATTAGTTATGAGATTAGTTATGAGATTATTCCAGTAATAGTAGCAGCAGAGACTAGAAGTGTTTAGATGCTGGACATTTTGAAGTAGAGACAAAGGATACTGATATCCATTTACTGATAGGTTGGATGTGGACAGTTAGAAAACATTAAAAAATTAAGAATAACACCAATGTTTGTGGCCTAATCTTCTGGCAACATGCAGTTATCATATACTGATATGAGAAATATTAGGACTGGAGTGGGTGATAAATGTGATTGGGTAGGACTGGTAATCAGGAGTTCATTTTTACACAGAGATAGATATTGGACATTCAAGTGTATATAATGGTACAGCCATTCTGGAAAACAGTGTGGAGTTTCCTCAGAGTTAAAAATAGATCTTCCCTACGACCCAGCAATTGCACTGCTGGGGATTTACCCCAAAGATGCAGATGCGGCGAAACGCTGCGACACCTGCACCCCGATGTTTATAGCAGCAATGTTCACAATAACCAACCTGTGGAAGGAGCCTCGGTGTCCATCGAAAGATGAATGGATAAAGAAGATGTGGTCTATGTATACAATGGAATATTACTCAGCCATTAGAAATGACAAATATCCACCATTTGCTTCGATGTGGAAGGACCTGGAGGGTATTATGCCGAGTGAAATAAGCCAATCAGAAAAGGACAAACATTATATGGTCTCATTCATTTGGGGAATATAAAAAGTAGTGAAAGGGAATAAAGGGGAAAGGAGAAAAAATGAGTGGGAAATATCAGAAAGGGAGACAGAACATGAGAGACTCCTAACTCTGGGAAAGGAACAAGCGGTGGTGGAAAGAAAGGGAGGTGGGTGGGGGGGTGGGGGGCACTGAGGGGGTCAATGATGGGATGAGCACTGGGTGTTATTCTATATGTTGGCAAATTGAACACCAATAGGGGATCCCTGGGTGGCTCAGTGGTTTAGCGCCTGCCTTTGGTCCAGGGCACGCGATCCTGGAGTCCCGGGATCAAGTCCCGCGACGGGCTCCGGGCATGGAGCCTGCTTCTTCCTTCTCCTATGTCTCTCTCTCTCTCTCTCTCTCTCTCTCTCTCTCTCTCTCCTCCCCCATGTCTATCATGAATGAATAAATAAATCTTTAAAAAAATTTGAACACCAATAAAAATAAATTAAAAAAAAAGAAAAGGACAAACATTATATGGTCTTATTCATTTGGGGAATATAAAAATTAGTGAAAGAGAATAAAGGGAAAGAAAATAAGTGAAAATATCAATGAAGGTGACAAAACATGAGAGATACCTAACTCTGGGAAATGAACAGGGGTAGTGGAAGGTGCAGGGGATTGGGGTGACTGGATGATGGGCACTGAGGGGGGCACTTTGCGGGATGAGCACTGGGTGTTATGCTATATGTTGGCAAATTGAACTCCAATAAAATTTTTTTAAAAAAATCAAGTGTATATAATGATTAGACAATTTGAGCATATGACTCTGGGGTTCATGGAAGGGCCCAGGCTCTAGGCAAATAGACAACTAAATAGATATACATAGGTAGTGATGATGATGATGAAGAGGAAGATGATAGATAGATAGATAGATAGATAGATAGATAGATAGATAGATGTATTTAAAACCATGAACTATGAGACTAGGCCAAGCGAGAGAAAAATTATTACATGGGTGTGATGAGTGCTATGGTATGTGGGGTCCTGCCCCAGGAGGAAGTACTCAGAGGATGAGGAGGACCCTGGGGTCATGTAAAGGTATTACAACAAAAATTACCTTGAAAGACATCTTACATTGTATAGTTAAAATATTTGAGTACTTACTGTCTTCCAGGAGCTATGACAGACATAACAGTCACCAAGACACAGCCTTGCCTCTATGCCAATCATGATCTCATGGGTAGATCAAATTGCCTAATGAAAATAAACACATGAATATCCAATATTGATCTCAAAAGTGAACTCCTGATTCCCTGTCCCCCTCCCCTCTACCACAGAATCACATATAGCTGACCTAGCAGAAAGACAGAGGCTGCCCTGGATGGAAGGTATGGATCTCTGTTTGGACACCTTCTATTTCTCAGAAGGTGAAACCTCTGTATTCCCACCTTCTGACCTAGCTCACAGGAGGCAAGAGCTAAAGGAAATAAAGTGCTGTAGTCTCCCTATGAGACATATGTGGTATGGGGGACTATGGGACACTCCTGCCCCACTAATTTGTAAGGAAATCCAGAATGACTCAACATCCCCTCAATCAAGAGGTGGTGGTAGGACTCTCTTCCACTGATAGAACCCAATGTGTCCATTGCTAACAGGATGAAAAAAAAAAAAAGCCAGGATGGGAAGAAGCATGAA